GAGCTCTCTATGGTGCACTATCTAGTGGCAGTCTTTACGCATGTCTCCACGCTATTTGATTTGTTTCTCATAGTACTCATCTTCACTGTCATCGTTATCATCGTCCTCATCATTCTGCTGTGCCTTTTATACATCACACAAGGTTCACTGGCTTCCTGCACTTCTTACTATTCTGTGCATCCCCCCCCCTCTCTCTCTCTCTCTCTCTCTCTCTCCCTCTCTCTCCCCCCCCCCCCCCCCCCCCCCCCCCGATATCATTGATCACTTTACTCCCATGTCACGCAATCGTGTTAGTGTCAGGGATTCCTCATTGTCCACTAGCACTGTCCGTACACGGCCGACTCTTAAAAACTAAAATCGCACTGCACAGCTAAAGGCAACCAAAGATGGCCGTGAAGCAACATACCGTTAAACAAAGTAGGCCCCCCGATTATGACGTCATCAAACACAGTTGGGAGCCCTGAATAGCTGTAGCCGGTTATGACCAGTCTAACCCAACACCTTTGACCTCTCCCATAAACGTTCGTCTACTCATCTTAGAGAATCTCTCTTGGGTATTCCCGTTATTTCTTATTTCTGCACCATTATTGAATTCGTCAAATTTTTCCAGTAGATTCCCCATTTTGGAGGTAAAATAAGAGTAGACCACTGCGCCCCCCCCCCCCCCCCCCAAACTCTCCAAGCATGTCGAAGTTAGGTGAAGTAAAGTTCGTTCTTTAGTTTCTTTCCAAGTTGAAGTGCATCTGCCTGAGAGCGGAGAAACCAACAGGCTGCAGGCAGATAAGCCCTATCTGTAAAGTGGATGTGCAAGCAAAACTAAAGATATGGAACACGACCAAAGTCCAGAACTGGACGAGCAACCAGAACTTTCCACCGGAATTTACAAACGATGAACGTTATGAAGAAGAAGAAGAATTATGTTTAAAACGCTTGTCAATTTCTTACGGGGTTCCTTCCTTCCTTTCCTTTTCGTTTCTTTTTCTCACACCCCCCCCCCCCCTCCCCGCCTCCGGACCGTTACCTGAAGGTTTGATGTCCTAACATTTAGACAATCTCAGTCGGGATGGCAAACCATCAGGGAGAATATCGTATAGCCCATTCAGCCTCTAGAACAGTTGTAATTGAGGCAGCTGTATCAACCACCGCAGGCTGATGTAATCTGCAGTTCTACACAGGCAAGGAGAAACTTGCTTAACTTCCTGGAGAGTTTATTTTCTGATGTTTTCAGCACCCGTTCCACGTCCTTGTTTAGGCAGGGTCCAGTATAATTATAGAATTCCATTAGAGTGGTGGTTTGAAACTCAAGAGCTTTGGTCTGGCAGACAGGCGTTTTACCACTGCGCTGCTACCGGTTACATTGTGCTTGGTCGAGGTTGCAACAGCTCAGGTTGCCCTATAACTTCTCCGTTCCTATGACGGTGGAAATTACATAAACGGGTGCAAACCCTAAGTGCCCCGTTCTACTTCTAACTCAAGCCTGAGTCCGAAGAATCGCAGCGCAGTGCACCGGCGAGGATCCTGAAATACTTTTTGGATACATTTTAACTCAAAATTGTGTCTGGGCAGCGCCGTTAGGTTACTTTTTTCGATTTTATTTTTTTACGTGCGCAACAATACACATGGGCGTCCGGTCTTACTACCCAGAGACCATGGGAAATTACTTGAAGTCCACGTGAAAAAAATCGCCAACCTTCACCGGGGCTTGAACCCGTGACATCCAGCACTCGAGGCGCATGCCACACCTGGAGATCACGCAGCCCCATAGTTTAATATTGTGCTATGGTAAATCACGGGAATAACAGATGTTGGCGATGACAGGAGCGGCCGGCAAGATCCTCCCGCTACAGTTAGAGCTCTGGATGTCCTGGCCATTCTTGCTGTTTTCTTCTTCTGCCTTTCTAACCCCCACTGGAGCATAGGCCTCAACCAACTCACGCTAAGTTGTTCTATCCTTGGCTGTCTCGCATGCAGCTCTCTCCCTATTATCTCTCCATCTCTTTAACTTCACTCTCTGATTCTTTTTCTATGTGTTTTTTGGTCTTGAAGCTCTGTTCTTGACACTGTTCTGCAGTCGTTTCCTTCAAAAATTCCAATGTCCTTTCTAATTTCATTCATCCATGCCCTACATTAGCGGTTCTCAAACTTGTTTCCACCTCGGCGCCCTTGTCAGGAAAAAAAAACAGATGTTCGCGGCACACCCACCCCTAAAGCAGTTTTATGTAAGCTTACGTTGAGAATGAACAGCGGCCTTGCCAATAGTATTGTCTTCTAAATACACCTGCATCCAGAACTCTTCTTGCCTTCCTTCATAGTATTTCTGTTTTAAACTGCTGTCTTCGCTGATCTCAAGCCGATTTTCAAAAAAAATTTGATTATACCCGCGGCACCCAGTTTGAGAACCGCTGCCCTACATACACTGCCCTGAGAAACGGCGATTCAGGCTGTAAACAGACAGTTTTAGGACAGCTAGTTGTTGGCTCAGTTCTGTATAGTAATTGTTGCGTCATTTTACTGACAAGAAAATTGTACAGTCAATTTGTCAGTGATACTACATTTTTTTTTCTTCTTCTTTAACGCCGAGAGTTTGCCTGTTACCGTGTAATTACTTTGAATAAATTGTTTTGAAGTCGGCTTGGAGATGGGTAAATTATCTAGAAATAGAGAATTATTAGTTTTTGTAATTTTTTTCCGGCCTTTATTGTTGTTCAGTTTACGCTAGTGCTTTGTTTTGATTACCTTTGTAGTTGTATCACCATGAGTACTTTGTTCTCATCATGAGTTTAATGGTGTTCGATCCCATGAAGTACTTTTCTCTGATCATGCTTGTACTTGGGTTTGTAGAAGTACTTTGTTGTCATTTATGTTGCTGATTGTCCATAAGTTCTTTGTTCTCATCTTAGGCTTAATTAAGTTTGGTCCCAGGAAGTTCTTTACTCTAGTCATTGGGGGAGGGGGGGGGGGTCGTGGGTTTGTTTTACGGCTGCGTCGTTCTGTTCAGGAGTGCAATTTTTATGGAGATCTATAGCAGGAGCCACGCAGTTTATGCTACGCTCTTGGCAGACGGCTAGCCGTCATGCAAAAAAAGAGACGCTCCGGTTAATTCGACGTTAGTCTCCCCAAATAGAGTAGGTCACTTTTCATTCACAAGTTTGTTTGGCTGGTCGACTTTCCTAAAGGTTACGGGTGTGTCCCGCTCTGTTGTGTGGTTTCTGCGATGTCTTACATTTACCTTTCCACAGCGAGAAAGAGAATGCCTGTAACATATATTGCAGCACTCTTTATGGTGGCCAGGGGGGGAGGGGGGGGAGGTTGTGTTAGACCCAGTTTCTTTATGTTTTTGGAGTGTTAAAAGCGCTTCTTCTTCTTCACTTCCTCTTTTACCGCTGTGGGTGTCGAGGGAGATGTAAGGTTCTGTTTCTAGCTCTTCTGACCGCCTCGACCATAGGCACATCGTGCTCTTGTAGAGTTTCTCTGATGTTATCCTTCCATCTTGTTCTTGGTCTACCTCGTTCTCTACGTCCTTATTCTCTTTCCATGTATGCTTTGTATGGTATGGTGTCACAAGGCATTCTCTCTAAGTGGGCAAACCATTTCACTTACTGTAAAAGCACTAGCGTGCTGAAATATGCAACACGCGATATCATCGGTATTGCGGAACACCCCCGAACCTTGTGCGAAGGTCACGGGGTTCAGGAACTACCAATACGAAGTGAGCTTGTGTGTATATGGGCAGGGTCTTGGGAGACTAACGTCGAACTAACCGACTGCGCCATATAGGATAAAATCCGGTGCAATGAAGTCGACCCTTTCGACTTTAACCTTTATTTTTCTTGTTGTGTTTCTAGTTGTACTTTTGTATCATTTGTATAGTTACATTGCCATAAGTACTTTCCTCTGATCACTCATGTAGTTGGGTTTCCATAAGTATTTCCTTCTTTTATTTATGTTATTAGTTTGACCCTTTCTGTCCAAGTTATTAACTAGCTTGACCCCATCTGTCCCAATTATTAGTCTGACCCCATCTATCCAAGTTATCAGTCTGACCACTTTTGTCCAAGTTATTTGCTTGACCCCATCTGTCCCACTTATTAGTCTGACCCGTTCTGTCCCAGTTTTTAGACTGACCCCTTCCAAAGAGTTATTAGCCTGACCCCTTCCGTTCAAGTTTTTATTCTGACCCCTTCTGTCCCAGTTATTATTCTGACCTTGTCTGTTCTAGCTAATTGTTCTGACTTCTACTATCCCATTTATTATTTTGGCTTCTATTGTCCCACTTATTATTCTGAATCCTACTGTCCCACTTATTATTCTGAATCCTACTGTCCCAGTTATTCTAGATCCTACTGCCCCAGTTATTATTCTGAATCCTACTGTCCCACTTATTATTCTGAATCCTACTGTCCCACTTATTATTCTGAATCCTACTGTCCCAGTTATTCTAGATCCTACTGCCCCACTTATCATTCTGAATCCTACTGTCCCACTTATTATTCTAGATCCTACTGCCCCACTTATTATTCTGAATCCTACTGTCCCACTTATTATTCTAGATCCTACTGTCCCACTTATTATTCTGACATCTACTGCCCCAAGGTATAGCGGCTAGACTACGACATGCTGGCCCTATGTTTGTGGGTTCAGATCCACATCTTATTGGATTTTTCTTCAGAAATGACCTTGACTCCCAAGTTAAACCAGCCTAAAATGGGTACTAGGTAAAGTCGTGGGAAGTAAAGGCTGTTGACCACATTGCCTACAGGCGATTGGTCCTTGGAACATGTCTAATATTTTATACCTAATATGGCACGGAAAAAGGTCATTTTTACTGTCCCTCTGACTCCTACTACCTCACTTATTATGCTGAATTTTAGTGTCCTAGTTATTATTCTGTTCAAATCAGAACAGAAAGAATTAAAATAATATGAGGTGTATAAAATAAGCGTATTGTAAGCCAGGTGGAGAAAGAGAGGTTAAACTGTAAATGCCTTCTTGTTCTGCAGAGAAATGATGTTCAAACAAAGCCTGGTCAAGCTGCGAGAGGAGGTGGTCAAGGCAAATGCCCTGGTCAGAGAGGCCAACACCCTGGCCCAGGAGATGGGCAAGCTGACCGAGTTTCATGTCACCCTGCAGATCCCAGCTTCGAACCTCAGCCCAAACAGAAAGGTGAGTTTCTGTCCACAAAATAACTCAATGTTTGTCAGAAATTAAAAATTAAAAAAACACACACACACATGAGTGGTCTCTTTGTAAACTGCCCGTTGGAAAATCATACCTTGGTACATTCAAAATTGTGGAAGAATTTCACTATCCCCTTAGCCACAGAGCCACACTTTAGATAAACAGAAAATTTAAAAAAATTAAGTTGTTCCTCTGCAGTCTGTAGGGTTAACATCTGGAAGGTGAAAATCTAATATCTACAAATGGAAACCCAGTTAGCCTTATGAAGTAACAGAACCTTATCCACACTTTCAGTCGAACTGGATAATTAGGGCTAGACCTATTTTTGTAGGGTGATCAGCACTCTATGGGCTCAACATCATGCCAGCGGTCTTTACTTCCCAGGCTATACTTGGTACCCACTCAAGGCTGGGTAAACCCGGGTGCCAAGGTCCATCAGGACCCGAAGGCATGACCTTCAGATCTGCAGTTGAGCGTCTAGCCGGCTTACAGTAAGTAAAGTAAAGGACCCTTCTCCACCACGCCTTTAGGCGTTTAGGGCATATAGGGCTAGACCTATATTTTTATAGACCAATCGGCACAGGATGGGTGATGTGGTCAGCATCACGCCGGCTGCCTTTACTTCCCGGGATTGCACCCAGTACCCACTCAAGGCTGGGTCGACCTGGGAGCCAAGGTCACTTTGAAAAATAGTCCGGCTTCGCCAGGGAGCGAACCCACAACTTTACGATCTGCGGCGAGCGTCTAGCCGCTCGGCTACGGCGACCCCCCGGCTTACAGTACAGCACAGTTATATTGGGGCACCATAGAGAGGTTATGGAATAACCTGTAGTCTAAATATTGTTGGATTGTTTCCGTAAAGCCACTTTTCTTATAGAGGTCAGTTAATTGGAGTGTTGACAGTACATGCTGCATGAAGAACCAGGTTTCATAATGAACACTAATATCATACTGACTATTGCAGAGGGGTGCTTTTGTTAGCGAACCAGCCATCCTGGTCAAACGGAAGAACCGCAGCAGCCAGATCTGGTCCCTGGAGAAGCTGGAGAATAAAGTCATTGACATGCGGGAGATGTACGAAGACCGCAAGGCCAGCGGGGGCCCCATGATGGTAGACGAGTCTTTCACTGATGAGCTAGATGCTTCTGTAATCGCTGGGGTTTGTGTTCCGCATGATTGGTGTTGTGTGTCATTATGTCATTATTGTTTTTAAAGTTTGTTAACAAAACTGAGACCCCCTCCGGGCAGAATTGGACTCTTTTTATCCCAGGATACAGCACAGACACTCCCTGTACGGGTTCCGAGGTCCCTTTGTGGGGGGAACAAAAATCGACACACTGCCTAATCAAAAGCATGTCATAAGAGTCAACTAATTGGGGCTTCCTTTGAAGTCAAATATGCCTTAAAGAGAAACCAGAACTTCTAACCAGAGTTTACTGCTGGTGAACGCAAAGAAGAAGAAGAAACTGCACAGACAGACAGATACAGAAAGACAGATGCACGTACGCACACACACACACAGAACACACAAATTATAATAATAACTAGTTTTAAAAAACTCACAATGTTAATTTATCTAATGCTAAGCAAAATATTTGTCTCTAAATCCTCTGTATTTTGCTTTAACGCATAACACATTCACACGTGATCTCCATTGCTGCCAACCTGCTGCTTTTCCGCCTACGGTATCCTATGTCATCCTACATTTCTTCATTTCCCTTTCTTTTGTCCTTCTCTGGGTTTTCTTGGGTCATCCACATCTCCCTTTCCCCCATTTGCCGTCTATCGGAGACCTGTCCTTGCCAAAGTGACATGAGTCATTGTGCATCTTCTTCCTTTGATATCTGTTGCCAGTGATGAAGCTTTGTTTTCCTGCTCACTCTAAGCTAGATATACATTCCTGCTCACTCTAAGCAAGATATACATTCCTGCTCACTCTAAGCTAGATATACATTCCTGCTCACTCTAAGCAAGATATACATTCCTGCTCACTCTAAGCTAGATATACATTCCTGCTCACTCTAAGCTAAACATACATTCCTGCTCACTTTAAGCAAGATATACATTCCTGCTCACTCTAAGCTAGATATACATTCCTGCTCACTCTAAGCTAGACATACATTCCTGCTCACTTTAAGCAAGATATACATTCCTGCTCACTCTAAGCTAGATATACATTCCTGCTCACTCTAAGTTAGATATACATTCCTGCTCACTCTAAGCTAGATATACATTCCTGCTCACTCTAAGCTAGATATACATTCCTGCTCACTCTAAGCTAGATATACATTCCTGCTCACTCTAAGCTAGATATACATTCCTGCTCACTCTAAGCTAGATATACATTCCTGCTCGCTCTAAGCTAGACATACATTCCTGCTCACTCTAAGCTAGACATACATTCCTGCTCACTCTAAGCAAGATATACATTACTGCTCACTCTAAGCAAGATATACATTTCTGCTCACTCTAAGCTAGACATACATTCCTGCTCACTCTAAGCTAGACATACATTCCTGCTCACTCTAAGCTAGACATACATTCCTGCTCACTTTAAGCAAGATATACATTCCTGCTCACTCTAAGCTAGACATACATTCCTGCTCACTCTAAGCTAGACATACATTCCTGCTCACTCTAAGCAAGATATACATTACTGCTCACTCTAAGCAAGATATACATTTCTGCTCACTCTAAGCTAGACATACATTCCTGCTCACTCTAAGCTAGACATACATTCCTGCTCACTCTAAGCTAGACATACATTCCTGCTCACTCTAAGCTAGACATACATTCCTGCTCACTCTAAGCTAGACATACATTCCTGCTCACTCTAAGCAAGATATACATTCCTGCTCACTCTAAGCTAGACATGCATTCCTGCTCACTGTAAGCAAGATACACATTTCTGCTCACTCTAAGCAAGATATACATTACTGCTCACTCTAAGCAAGATATACATTTCTGCTCACTCTAAACAAGATATACATTTCTGCTCACTCTAAGCTAGACATACATTCCTGCTCACTTTAAGCAAGATATACATTCCTGCTCACTCTAAGCTAGACATACATTCCTGCTCACTCTAAGCTAGACATACATTCCTGCTCACTCTAAGCAAGATATACATTACTGCTCACTCTAAGCAAGATATACATTTCTGCTCACTCTAAGCTAGACATACATTCCTGCTCACTCTAAGCTAGACATACATTCCTGCTCACTCTAAGCTAGACATACATTCCTGCTCACTCTAAGCTAGACATACATTCCTGCTCACTCTAAGCTAGACATACATTCCTGCTCACTCTAAGCAAGATATACATTCCTGCTCACTCTAAGCTAGACATGCATTCCTGCTCACTGTAAGCAAGATACACATTTCTGCTCACTCTAAGCAAGATATACATTACTGCTCACTCTAAGCAAGATATACATTTCTGCTCACTCTAAACAAGATATACATTTCTGCTCACTCTAAGCTAGATATACATTCCTGCTCACTCTAAGCTAGACATGCATTCCTGCTCACTCTAAGCAAGATACACATTTCTGCTCACTCTAAGCAAGATATACATTCCTGCTCACTCTAAGCAAGATACACATTTCTGCTCACTCTAAGCAAGATATACATTCCTGCTCACTCTAAGCAAGATATACATTCCTGCTCACTCTAAGCAAGATACACATTTCTGCTCACTCTAAGCAAGATATACATTACTGCTCACTCTAAGCTAGATATACATTACTGCTCACTCTAAGCTAGATATACATTCCTGCTCACTCTAAGCAAGATATACATTCCTGCTCACTCTAAACAAGATATACATTTCTGCTCACTCTAAGCAAGATATACATTCCTGCTCACTCTAAGCAAGATACACATTTCTGCTCACTCTAAGCAAGATATACATTCCTGCTCACTCTAAGCAAGATATACATTCCTGCTCACTCTAAGCAAGATACACATTTCTGCTCACTCTAAGCAAGATATACATTACTGCTCACTCTAAGCTAGATATACATTACTGCTCACTCTAAGCTAGATATACATTCCTGCTCACTCTAAGCAAGATATACATTCCTGCTCACTCTAAGCAAGATATACACACATTATTTGTGTCTTCCTGGGCCCTGTGTGAATAGAACCACTTCTCCCCAGACAAGCAGCTCATAAAAGTTCACCAATTACTGGCGTTTCTTTTGAAGTCCAAATGCATTTGCCTGAGAAGCCAGAAACCAACAGTCTGCATACAGATGTTTTGTTTTTTTAAAAGCTTTTTAAACATGACTTTTTCTGCCAAATTGATCCAGCCTAAAATGGGAACATGATATATTCATGGGAAATAAATTTGTATGACATGATGTTGACCATATCAGACATCAAGTGCCAATTGATCTATAAAAATACGAGTCATGCCCAATGTTCTACTGTCAGTATCAAATTCGTTGGGCTGGTCATGTGGCACGCATGCCAGATCTCAGGCTCCCACAAAACAACTCTTCTATGGTGAGCTGCAAAATGGGAAACGTTCACAAGGCAGGCAAAAGAAACGCTTTAAGGACACCTTGGAGTCCTCACTCAAAGCATTTGGGATGAATGACACCAATTGGGAGGCTGCCTGCTTAGACCGAAATGCATGGCATGCAGCCCTACACAAGGGTGCGGCTACATGTGAAGCAAACAGAACAGCAAGACTTATTAAGAAAAGGATGGACAGAAAAGGCGACTGCAGGAGATCTCCCTGGCACAACGCTCATTCCCTGTCCTCACTGTCCAAGAACTTTTCGGGCCCACAGTCATCTTCCTACACATACTTGATGAAAAAGAGTGGTCATCATTATCTTGACGGACAACACACACTGTCATAAAAGTGTCCAGTAATATTTTTTTTTTAAATAATAAACTGTAATTGTGCAAAGTAGAGCCATATATGGCATGTTGATGTATAAACATGCCAAATGGCCAGTCACACAGGGGCCATTGTCTGGGAAAGACAGAGTTCAGAGATATTTTTGGATACTGATGTCTGAAAAAGCTGGCCATTAGGAAAACTACTCATTTGATGCTTTCAGAACTGATCAAATATTGATAAGTGGCCATAATGAAATGTTAACAATTTTTTTGTTTACACTGATATTAAAGCAGTAACTAGCTGTATAAAATATTTACTATAAACTTTTTTTTTTTCAATATAAAACTCTTTACTGTATGTTAATTTAATGAAAAAATTATTTTTTACATTAATGACCAATAGATTGTTTTATAAGCAGGTGAGCAGGAATGTATATCTGAACAAGAAAGTTGAATAGGGCATCTGGATTTTTTAATTGATTCAGTATGGCTAAACTACTGGATATAAGATTGCCTACTAGTAAAACCAACCGGCCAAAAATAGTTGAGGATCTGTAGTGTTCTGTAAGAGATACACAACTGCTTTCAGTATACAAATGTGAAGTATTTTCTTCTCTCTCTCTCTCTCTTTTTTCGGTATTTCAGTGCAGAATTATCTCTGAGTTCAAAAGGCTGCATTGTAGGGGAAGCAAAGAACAGACCCACTGCCAAGTCCCCCACAACACTACAGTTAGCTTCTTTTTTTCCCAACAAATCAAGATTTTCAGGGAATCCATTTTTTAACTCTGGACATAGCTTCTTTATTTTTTTTCAAAAGAATCAAGATTTCCAGCTAATCCTTTTAACTCTTTCTGTCCAAAGCTTCTTTATTTCAAAAGAACCCAAATTTTCAGCTTATCCTTTTAACTCTTTATGTCCAAATCTTCTTTATTTCAAAAGAATCTAAATTTTCAGCTAATCCTTTTAACTCTTTCTGTCGAAAGCTTCTTTATTTTATAAGAATCAAGATTTTCATCTCATCCATTTAACTCTTTCTGTTGAAAGCTTCTTTATTTCATAAAAATCTTATCCTTTTAACTATTTCTGTCCAGGTCAACACATTATGTTTGATTGAATTAAACATAGGTACCAAGCAATATGTTATATGTGTTTTTATATTATGTCGATTCAGGGAGTCTTTAAAAATCCCAATCAACAAATTCGTGTCCTGCAGTTATTGTGCATTTAGCCCCTATATACCCACAAGTTGAGTGCTATTCTTTTTTCTCTGACATTAGCTTATACCATCTGGGACATTCACAAAGGCGCTAGTTTGACATACAACAACAACAAAAACATCATTTAGCAAATATAGACTCAGAAGTTAGATCACAGAACAGTAATGTGATGACAAAAACATTGATGACATCATAAAAGTCAAACACTGGAGACAAACTAGAGACAAAAAGAAGTAACAGATCAGTTTACCCGGTTGTGTAGCACAGTTTACCTAGTTCTGTAGCACAGTTTACCTAGTTCTGTAGCACAGTTTACCCGGTTATGTAGCAGTTTTGATTGCTAAGCGACCACACAGAAAGCAATTATAGCTATCTACGTTTATTCATATATAAACATTCATGACTAGCACTCCATCTTTATTCATGTCCTAGTACATTCATCGCTGACAGTAAGGGAGATTTTAATATATTGACAAGCATTTTGTAAATGTCACAGAACAATTGAGACACTGGAGCAATCATCCTTTCTCCTATTGATTATTAAGATGGTCTTACTTCAGCTTTTCAGGTCATTTTATGATCTCACACAAAAGTACCAAAGGACTGTCTTCTCTCTGTCTGTGTTTTTTTTTTCTGACTCATTGGTGTGTTTGTTCCTTCATTTTTGAAGGTGGTAAGTAAATGCAAAATGTGACTGAAAGGCTTTAGTGAAGGGAATGGAAAAGACACACACAAATACAACTGAACATTTCGACCAAATTTATAAATAAAATTAGAAAGCAAAGAGAGGAATTCAAGTATTTGGGAGCAGTTTTCACATCTGATGGAAAACTGGACAGAGAAATCAGCTCGAGATGTGCCAAAGCTAATCAAGTAATGGGTTAGCTATCTCCTCTTTGACTCCTGAGCCGATACCCTGGAGTACTAAAGTGAATCTTATCAGAACTATTTTTTGGCCAACACTATGCTGTAAGTGCCAAACATGGACACTTACATCCTATAATGAACATAAAATTGTGACCAAAAAAATGAGAAGACTCCGAAGAGCTGCAGGAGTTTCAAGGAAAGACAGAATACGAAATCACGAAATCAGACGAATGCTTGGAATAAAGCCAGTCTTACAGGTCATCAAAGAACAACAAATGAAGTGGTTTGGACACCTAACAAGAATGCCCTGGTACTATCTTGCCACAGCGAGCTACACTGAAACATTACAACGGGTATAGAGCGAGTGGAAGACCTAGGAAAAGATGGAGTGATGGCATTAAGAACAGCCTTACAGAAATGAACATCAATCTTAATAGTGCTCTTGAAAGAGCTCATCAACGAATGTTACATCTCCCCCCGACACTTCGCTGAGGTACAAGAGAAGAAGAAGAAGAAGATTTTGACCAAATGCAGCCACAGACTCTCATAAAAAGTCTTTATCAGTGGAGTACTAATTTGGGGAGATCAGAAGAAATTAAAACTGATACTACATTTAAATTTGTTTAATTCTAATGTCAAATCACTATTGTTTTGTGGAGCGGAAACATGGAGAACAGCTAAAGAACTTGCTAGTGGACTACAAAAATTCATTAGCTGATTTTGATTTCTGTGTCGTGTAGGGAGTTGAACGATATGATGCAGTCACTAATATAGAGCTTTGGGAGAGAGCTAAACAAGTTCCAGTGAACCAAAAGGTGAAGAAAAGATGCTGGAATTGGATATGACAAATGTTGAGAAAACTTGGGAATAATATAACAAAAAATGTCTTTGCACTGGAACCCACAGGGACATAAAAATTAAAGCAGACCAAAAAAACCATGAAGAATTGAGCTGGATAATGAGGCTGGAGGGATGGGGAGGACATGGGGTGAGCTGCATGCAGTAGTCAAGGAAAGAATGAAATGGTATGCATTGGTTGGGGATCTATGTTGTATTGAGGGATAGAAGGCAGAAGAAGATGATGTGCAACAAGACAATGGGACTAGAAAGCTCAGCAGGGGGGGAATGGAAAAGACGCGCACAAATACAAATGTTTCAACCAAATAGACTCACTATCTCTCAAGGAAAAGTCTTTATCAACTGAGTACTAAATACACCACAAACTTTGACTGGAAAACTCAACGGATAAGACAGCAGAGCTTATAAAAAAACCAGGGTCAACATGAAATCAAGAAATACAAAATGGGGACAAATATGGACATGTTTTATTTAGGAAGTCTGTTGATTAAAAAAACACAAGTGAGGAGTATTATCAGGATTTTTTCACCGGTATATGCCGGTGTTTTGAGAAATGAACAGGATGACTGGCTGGCTCTGCACAACTTGGTGGAATACTGATACATGATATGGCAGACGTGGTTAGTACCTTGTGGGAGAGCGGGTACAGTTCGGAAGAGCAGATGGATCACCACAGTTTGGTGAGATTGATGCAGTTGGGGGTGACGAGAGTTTCTGGCAGACGCTCCAGGCTCAGAGGAAAGGCGAGACGGATGTTTAATCAGAAAGCTACTGGCACCATTAGTATCGGAACTCTTCGCTGGCTGCTGAAGATGGAGACGGAGCGCTTATTGGAATGCCCCCAGTGATGTCGGTTCTTGAATCAAATCAAATCAAATGGCCAAACCATTTGGTTGTATTTGTGTGTAACTTTTCCATTCCATCTGCCAAGCTTTCTAGTCATATTTTATGTTGTTTTTAGCAGTTTGTGTCATCAGCTTGATTGAAGTCATCCCCTGTTTAAGTTATAGCTTTAAACCGGTCCATTACCGTGTATGTGTAAATTTATATATCTTTATTTTTCTGTAAATAAATGTACATTGGTGTGAATTTATAGCTTTATATCTGATGGTTGCACATTTTCTAGATCAATTGTAGAATTCATATTTTTGATGTGGTGGAGTGTTGATGTTGTTAGAAGTTGTACATGGCTTATATGTTTTGTTACATGGTTTAAATATATTGTTACATGGTTAGCATGTATTGTTACATTGTTAGCCTGGCCGCAAAGAAATGTAGAAACAAAAATAATAGAAATGAAGAGAGAAACAGATTAAAGAAACATCACTAGAAAGGAAGGAGACAAACAGGTGAAATTAAGAAATACACAAAAAGGGAAAAAAAAGAGACACACATTAAAAGGAGAAATAGACAAAACAACCGGAAGTCCACACAGTATCATTTTCCCTTTGTGGTTGTCAGTCTGTCATAGATACTGTCTTAGAATAGGGATCACTACTGAAGTAAATTATAGAATGCTTTGATGTATTGAAATCACCATTTCTTTGAAGACATCCCACATATGGAAGGAGATGTCCAAATCTAATGGGTTTAATTTTTGAAATTCAAAAGACTTAGGAAAAATAATATTCACATTTTATTGTGCGTTTTCTGTGACATACACAAATACGAAAGAAAGTCACAGTTGTAATATAATTGAAGGGCAGTTACTCTCTCTATAATAATGTTATAATACATAAATGTATGTTTGAGTAATGTTTATGGACTTTCAAAGTAAAGTATATTTGACACAGCTTTTTTGTGCGTAATCAAAACCATAATTAAGCATATATTTTAAGGTTATTGTTACATTAGATAAAACAAAACGTACAATTTAAGATAGGTGTATCAGCCGTGCTCACATCCGGAAAGTTGCCCCAGACAGCAGAACAAGGAGCCTCAGACACCAGAACAAGGTGCCTCAGACAGCAGAACAAGGTGCCCCAGACAGCAAACTTTTTGGCTGAAAACAGCAACAGCGGAGGGTAACCTCTACGGACCATTTAATAAAGTAAAGAAAGTGACATTTATACTAGGTTAACAGCAGATATAGACCACTTATTTCAGGTGAACGAAAGAAGAAGTTAGATAATAAACTTTTCATTACAATAATGATTTCTTAAAGGTAGTTACATATAATTGGAAAAGACACTTGAATCTGTACATGCAGGACTCAAATAATGTGTATCCTTTATTTGCTACATATTTTTGAACATATTCTTAAGATTAGGGAGTCGCCGCGGCATAGCAGCTAGATGCTAGTGTGCAGATCAGAAGGTTGTGGGTTCGCTCCCTGGCGGAGCCTGACTTTTTTCAAAAATGACCTTGACTCCCAGGTCAACCCGGCCTTGAGTGGGTACTGGGTGCAGTCCTGGGAAGTAAAGGTGGCCGGCGTGCTGACTACATCACCCATCTTGTGCCGATTGGTCTATACAAATATAGGTCTAGCCCTATACGCGTAAAGGCGTGGAAAAGAGACCTTTACTTTATATTCTTAAGATTAATTTGTCGTTCTACGATGCCAAAGGCAGTATATATCAACCTGTGACATTTTGACCTCTCCTCCTGACAGGACCTAGGCCCACCAATGGTAGGCGACCCTTTCTACGAGTCCCAGGAGAACCACAATCTGATTGGAGTGGCCAACATCTTCCTGGAGTGTCTGTTTCATGACGTGAAGCTGGATTACCACGTTCCGATCATCAGTCAGCAAGGAGAGGTAGGTGCTTGAAGAGGTTTTTTTTTCCAAAGGCAGTATAGTGAGGTTATCTCAGTTTTGAGAGCCGCTGTGGTTCAGTGGCTAGACCCACACCTGTGAATCAGAAGGTTGTGGGTTCAAATCCTGACGGAGCCAGACATGTGTTTTTTCTAGGTCAACCCAGCCATAATTATGAGTCCCATAGAACGCATCATACGTTCATAGGTTCCTACCTAGAAACCCAGGGAATGCACAGTGTGCCGATTTTACGTCTCTCTTGACTACCCCTTGGGCTTTGATGCTAAACCACCTGGGACTCAACGAGTTAAATGGGTACCAGGTAAATTCCTGGAAAGTAAAGGCGGCCGACCGGATGTTGACCACGTCACCTGCCAAGTGCTGATTGGTCTATAATCTATAGGTTGTATGCCCAATACGCCTGAAGGCACGGAAAAGGGGCCTTTATCTCAGTTCTTTCATCTTCTTAGCATTCACCAGCTGTAAACTGCGGCAGAAAGTTCTCATTGTTTGTTCAACTTCATCCATTTTACGGATCTGGCTTACATCCATTTTACGGATCTGGCTTACTTGAATGTAGACTGTTGGTCTCTCGCCTCTCTGACAGATGCACACCAACTTCAAAGAGAAAATCCCATATTAGCTGTATTTTTATGACATGCTGGGGGGGGGGGGGGGGGGGGGGGCAGTGAGTTTGTTCTTTTTCCACAAAATGGGTTCCAGGCTCATATTGGACTAATCAGCCACCTTCGTACTCATAATCATTGATCATTACTGCTTGGGGTGAAAAAGTGGTTGGTCTTCATCACTTGTGATGGGCGAACAACAACTGTACATTGCTCGTGTATAAGACAATATGTTTTCCCTGAATTTTTTTTTTTAAGTTTAAAATTGGGAGTGGTCTTATACGCAGAATGTATTTAAAATATTTATTTCCTAATTTTGAGCTAAAAAAAAAAAAAAGGGCGAATCATATCATACACAGGGATGTCTTGTATATATACGGTAAATACAGTGTTTTAAAGTTAATGCACATACATCTATATTGTATGTGATATTGCATCGTTCAGGTGGCTGGCAAGCTACACATTGAGATCTCCAAGCTCGGCGGAGCTGTGCTGGATCGATACGTGGATATGGCCGCAGACAATGAGTATGACAATTCTGTGCCCATGGGTGCCCCACTGCTGATTCGGGTAAGTTGGGTTTGTTTAGTAAATTCTGGCTTTTTCATGTTTTCTATGGGAAAGGACTTTTTTTTATGTTTTCTGTGAGCTATGCTACTGACTTTTCATGTTTTCTCTGGGCAGTACTGACTTTTCTTGTTGTTTTTGGAGAATACTGACTTTTTCATGTCTTCTTTGAGAAAAAGTGACTTTTTCACATTTTCTTTGGGAAATACTGACTTTTTTTATGTTATCTTTGCAAAATACTTATTTTTTCATAGATAATACACTAAAAGGTACAATTATATGCGGGGGGGGGGGGGGGGGGGGGGTGTCTTTCCCTGCTGTTTTTGGAAAGTTTGTTTTGATGGAAAATACTTTTTTTGTGTGGAAACAAAACAACACATTAACATGGGCAGTTGTCAAAAAAGTTGATGTTTCTCTGTTCTGCTGCATGTCGTAGAAACCTGGACTAGCAGCTGGAAGGCCAATGAGGCCCTGGAGCTGTGGATATACAAAAGAGTATTATGAAAACAAAAACTGTCAAATGCTAGTCTTTTGGGGGGGGGGGGGGGGGGGGGGGGAGACACATTCTAGGTCTTGTTTCATGGGGAAAAAGATGGTAAAATGCTTGACTTGTTTTATTGGGGGGGGGGGGGGGGGGGGGGGGGGGGGGGTTCAAATGTTAGGTCCTGTTTTATGGAAACATAAATGGTCAAATGCTAGGTCTTGTTTTATGGAAACATAAATGGTCAAATGTTATGTCCTGTTTTATGGAAAAATAAATGGGTAAATGCTAGGTCCTGTTTTATAGCAACATAAACGATTTATTATTCTGCCTCCCCTGGCAGAAACAGGCTCTTAGGACCCTCCATCACTGCCTTTGAAAAACAACAGAAAGAGAGGAGAGGAATCTAGTTGGAAACCATAGCTTAAAGCCAAACACTACAGCTTTGCAGACAGAACATTTCTTTTTTTATTGGAAGGGAAATGTATATTTGGGCTGTGTCCCTTGGTAAATCCTAATGTGCCTCTAAAATCTCAAGGGCTGAATGATGTTTGCTAATGTTATTAAAATAATCTGTTTGATAGCTTTCTGTGTCTTTCTCATCTTGCTTATTTCTTTTGATACTTGTTTGAGCTTTTTGTGTCTTTCTCATCTTGCTTATTTCTTTTGATACTTTTTTGAGGTTTCTGTGTCTTTCTCATCTTGCTTATTTCTTTTTGATACTTTTTTAAGCTTTCTGTGTCTTTCTCATCTTGCTTATTTCTTTTTGATACTTTTTTGAGCTTTCTGTGTCTTTCTCATCTTGCTTATTTCTTTTGACACTTTTTTGAGTTTTCTGTGTCTTTCTCATCTTGCTTATTTCTTTTGATACTTTTTTTTTTAGCTTTCTGTGTCTTTCTCATCTTGCTTATTTCTTTTTATACTTGTTTTTGCTTTCTGTGTCTTTCTCATCTTGCTTATTTCTTTTTATACTTGTTTTTGCTTTCTGTGTCTTTCTCATCTTGCTTATTTCTTTTGACACTTTTTTGAGTTTTCTGTGTCTTTCTCATCTTGCTTATTTCTTTTGATACTTTTTTTTTTAGCTTTCTGTGTCTTTCTCATCTTGCTTATTTCTTTTTATACTTGTTTTTGCTTTCTGTGTCTTTCTCATCTTGCTTATTTCTTTTGATACTTTTTTTTGATGAGTTTTCTCTTATTTTATTTGTCTTTCTGTTTTATTTTTATTTTTTTCCAGCTCTGTCAGGTTTCTTTTTATATGGCTTTATCTGCTTTTTAACTTCCTTTTTTTTAATTTTTTTATTTGATCATATTTTTGTTGTTGAAGATGTTCAGATAACTTTTCTGCTCAGAGGGTGTTCGGAACAATATTTGGACCTGTCAAAGATAGCAGTTGCTGTGAATGGAAAATAAGAACATGCAATAGAGATAATGTAATCGTTGAAACAACAATCAGTTTGGCAGCAGTGTAGCAGTTTCAGCTGGTTTCTAATGTTAAGTAAGAGGTTCCAGATGAAGAAGTGATGAAAGCATGTGTGGGCGAGTGTGGTATGCTCACACGCACAACACCTCCCCTCACACACATTTTCTTTAGACAGCCAGAATGTGTTATTTATATTTTGAAAAGGGATCAGGATGCAAGGACAGCTTATTAAAATCAGCCAGAAGGAAGCAGTCTTTTTTCTAAACCATTTTATGAAGGCGGCAGGGGGAAAGGTAGGGGAACTTGCCACAGCTGTAAAGATTTATGGAGAGAGAGAAGAGAATCTTTGAACCCATCAAAGATGCAAACAGAAGAGAATGGAGAGTGAGAAGCAATAATGAAATTCATAATCTGTTTAAATCACAACTGATCACTGGCATTATGAGAGCTAATAGACTGAAATGGCTTGAGAGAATGTCAGATGACAGAGAGGTAAAAACTATACACAAGGGAGATAAATGGTCATAGACCACTAGGCAGACCGAGAAGACAATAGAGAAATGACATCCAGACACCTGAAAACACTTGGTGTCACCAACTGGAAAGAGAAGGCCAACCATAAAGATGAGTGGAGTTGGTTGATATTTGCAATAGTGAACATCGAGGGCTCGGAACGCTGAAAAATAAGCATGTCATAAGGGTCGACTGATTGGGGGTTTGTTTTGAAGTCGGGCTGCGTCTGCCTGAGAGGTAAGGAACTAGCAGTCTGCATATAAGTGAGTCAGATCTGTGAAACGGATGTGCATGCAACACTCAGGTTCTTGAACAAGTCTAAGGTCTAGAGGTGGATGGACAACCAGAACTTTCCACTGGAGTTTGCAACCAGTAAACACAAAGAAGAAGAGGAGGAGGAAGAAGAAGAAGAGTGTTTAAGATTGCAGAAAATGGATTAGCTTGGTCACCCACATCAGTCAGCAAGGCATTCAGTCTCAGCACGCGCGCATGCACACATACACTCACACACATGGAGCAAAAACACAAGGCATACAGTCACACACACACCCACACCCACACACACAGCAGAAACACAACCCCATCACACACACAACACCCACTCTCCCCCCCCCCCCTTTTTTTTAAAAAACCCACACATACAGCAGAAACACACCCCCATCACACACTAACAACACACACAACCATATTTTTCCGTGTCTTTGTTTGTTATTTAATTCTGACAACACCTGATTCAATCTGGCTCCAAGTGACTTTGCTTCTTGTGGATTTCAACAGAAGTATAAGCATCGACCACTAAATTAATTGCTGGCAAACAACTGAGTGTAAATTACCTGATAAAATTGTAAATAACCAACAGATAATTAGGTTGGTTTGCAATATTATGTGCAGGTAAGTTTTTTTTTTTTTTTTTTTTTTAGCTTCCATGGGTCACCACTATTAACTCATGGCCCGTAAAGGCCTAGCTAGTAGCCCACTGATTATTGCTAATTGTATTGTAATAATGATCTTTCTATGCGGGAACTCAGGCCTCTGGCTCATGACAATCCCCATTTTCGAAATTGTGGCCCCTGATTAAACTTAGTTGAATAGCCTACCATAGACTCTAACATTAGCATCACAATTTTGATTCGGTTCCAGGTCTGCATAAAGGAAGCTCGCGGGCTACCCTTGGCTCTGTCCAATTTTGTGTTCTGCCAGTATTCCTTCTGGGGAGAGTCCGAGGGGTGTGTGGTTCCCCCAGAGATCAACCCAGACTCCGTGTCTCGCAAGGATGACCACACGGTGAACTTTGTTTTCAACCATGAGAAGGTGAGTGCAAATCCAAGCCCTGCATCATCAATACCATCATCTCACACAGTTACCAGTCTCAGCTAAGTCTGTGAGTTAAATGAGTTAGATTATCTTCACAGCACTCCGGACACATCCATAGGCGCTCAGATTCCCATCTCAACATATTCATCAGCGTCGTGTGGCTAATAGTGCCAGTCCTGTGTTGGTTAACAAGACTTCCTGTGCGTCCGGTGTGCTTCTCGTGCTTGGCTGTGCCGATCTTTACTCCCAGTCAAGTCTGTGCTTTTGTTTTGTTTATCAGATGTGCCGAGCCATCCCTCTATTTCAAGTGGCCCACGGATAATTGCCTGTTATACTGTATTAATGATCTTTCCCTGTGTGGTTTCCAGGTTTACCTTATAGAGGGAAAACATAACTGACCCACTACTTCCTAACAATCGTGTCATAAAAGTCAAATGATTAGGGGTGTTTCCTTCACAGTCGAAGTGCTTCTGCCTGAAGGACAGGGGGAACAAACAGTCTGCCTACAAATAAGCCAGTCAATCTCAAGTTCTGGAACATGACTTAAGTCCAGATGTGGACGAACAACCAAAACTGTATGCCTGAGTTTACAGGCAGTTAACACAAGGAAAGAAGATTTGTCATAGTTTTGTTTTGAATATAATTGTGGTATTTCATGGTTACATCAGCGAAGTTTGTATTTTTCAACTGATACAGCTGAATTCTCCAGAACTGTGTTATTTTGTTGCTCTTTGAACCTCATATCATTTTAAGGAAATTCTGCATGCATTTAAAAGGTGAAAAGTGAGAGGACTGACTTCATTCCACTTGGTTTTATCCTATAGGGTTCAGTTTCTCTCTGCAGAACGGTTAGCCACCTCCTGAGAGTGGCGCACAAAGCATGAGCCCCAAAGTTCCAGTGACAATCTCCAGTGATCTGCCTAAAAATTGCACTTGTGAACCAAATGATGTAACCGTGAAAGGAACCCACGACCTTTAGAGCGTGAGATAAACAACTTGGCCACTTCCTCACAGAGACCAGCAGTGTGCATTTGAAACTATCCGTCAAAAGTATGATCTCCAGAAGAACATAGTCCTTTTGCTTCAATCCTTTGCTTTTATTTTTTTATTTTTTGCCACAGCATTTCCGAGTTCCTATCACAGAAGAGTTCATAGAGCACTGCTCTGATGGAGCCCTGTCGATTGAGGTCTGGGGACACAGAAGTCAAGGCTTTGGGAAAGAGTTGGTGATGAATGATGCAGCCCAAATCAAATCCAGATCTGTAGCAGACAGGTGAGTCTCTTGACTCTTCTTCTATTTTTTTGGTTTTTTGTTTGTTTCAAGAAATGTACGCGTGCCAAGAGTTTGTTTTGTATTCCAACAGCCTTTTAGATTTAGTGCTCTGCAGGTCAGAATTTTACTGTTTTGAGACATTGTTTACAAAATCCCTGAGTAGGTTCCTCAAAAGTCCCATTTTGGGAGGAAAGAAGAATAGACCCATTGGCCCCTTACAAGCATGATGTAAAAGGTGACAAATTAGGTATGTTTCCTTCAAAACCAAAAGGCGAGCAGCCAATAGTCCGCACACAAATAACCCAGATCTGTAAAATAGATGTGCACACAGCACTTAAGTTCTGGAACAAGACTAAAGTCCAGAAGTGAACAAACAACCAGAACTTTCCACCAGAGTTTTCAGCTAATGAATGCAAAGAAGAAAGAAGAAGATCTGCTTATAATCGGTCCTTACTGAGTTTCTTGGTCATGAATGAGTTAATACCTCACTGTTTGTTCTCGTTGTGACAGATGGAATGAGGTGATGAGAAAGATTGAATTCTGGGCAGAGATTCATGAGTTGAATGATCAAGGGGACTACGCTCCAGTTGAGGTGGCACCCAAACAAGATGTTCCTTGTGCTGGAGTTGTGCAGCTTAGACAGGTAAGGGAAACGATTTGTTTGTGTTACTGTTTTCATATCCTAGTCTGTTAAACACTATTTAGGTGCACATTCGACGAATGGAATTTAACTATGCTTTTCAGGAACAGGTCACTGCAGAAGTGACTAAATATCGGGCATTTAGGGGTATCTGGCACAGCCAGAAGTGACTAGATTTAGGCTTCTCCATGAAAAAGTTTGTTTATTTGAACTCATTTAGTCCCAGCATGCCTTATTTTGGTAATAATTACATGAATTGTTGTTCCAATGTGGGATGCAATTTGTTGTTTTTTGAAGCCACACCCTGTCTTTTGCCGGGGGCCCCGAATATGGCCTGGCTGTTAATGTGGCCAGAGCGACTGAAAGGGATTTCTATGACCTTTCCAAGGGTTATCCTTATCCACGTGGTGGCACTGTGTGTCACCAGGTGTTTGTCGCTTGTGTGATGTCCTGGTGGGGTACAACAAGCAAGCGTGCATTAGTGTCAAGTAAGGATTAAGTCTGTAAGAGTTATTCTGTTGTAAAGTGGCTGTACAGATCATCAGGAACCATCTTCACAGGCCATGATGATGTACGTAGGGCCCTGTAAGTTTCCATACATAGCAACATACATAGGAACTGTAAACCAGAAGTTTCCATACATAGCAACATACATAGGAACTATAAATTATAAGTTTCCATACATAGCAACATACATAGGAACAAAAAATTAAAAGTTTCCATACATAGCAACATACATAGGAACTATAAACTATAAGTTTCCATACATAGCAACATACAGAGGAACTGAAAACTATAAGTTTCCATACATAGCAACATACATAGGAACTGTAAACTATAAGTTTCCACACATAGGAACATAAAAGGAACTGTAAACTATAAGTTTCCATACATAGCAACATACATATGAACTATAAATTATAAGTTTCCATTCATAGCAACATACATAGGAACTGTAAACTATAAGTTTCCATACATAGTAACATACATAGAAACTGTAAACTATAAGTTTCCATACATAGGAACATACATAGGAACTGTAAACTATAAGTTTCCATACATAGCAACATACATAGGAACTATAAACTATAAGTTTTTATACATAAGAACTATTAACCATGTTTCCATACAAAGCAACATACATAGGAGTAATAAACTATGTTTCCATACATAGCAACATACATAGGAACTATAAACTATAAGTTTCCATACAAAGCAACATACATAGGAGTAATAAACTATACGTTTCCATATCTAGGAACATCAAACGTACCACAAACGTCATTACAAGCATGACCCCAACTGTGCTTGTTATACGTGTTATGCTTCTTGTAATGGCAGTGGCTTTGCTATTTAAGACGATAAAACACACAAAAATTGAAATATTGTTGTCACTTGAAACGTCACGAAAGTTTAGAGAGAACATTAATGGAGGGGTAAATGCCTGGGAAGAGAGGAAGAGGAAGGCCAAAGAGAAGATGGGTGCAGGATGTGGCGGATGATCTCCAGATGGGTGTATCGGACAAGGGACATCTTGCTTGATATCGAGAAGTTATCCAGAGGGTTGTTATAGAAACAAGGTTCTGCAAAGGCCATGCTACTGACTGACTGAATGGCAGTGGGGATATGTTAATTGTTTTATGTATGGAAACTTTTATCACAATGACTACTTCGAGACTGGAGGTGGAGACAGTCTCTGTTGCCTTCCGCTGGCTTGAGAATCAGCTGTACATGCATGCTGTGATTGTAACACTCACAGAGCATGTTTAGAAAGGTGAAAACAGGCATCTCTTCAGACCCGGGTAGCTAGCATCCTTTGGATAATTTCTCCAGGTCATGCCAGTGTGTTGGGAAATGAACAGACAGACTGGCTGGCTCTACACCACTTGATGGTGAATTGATATATGGCAAGTTAGATATTGTCAGGGCCCTTTGGGAACGGGTGAACAGTGCGGAGGCGCAGATCATTACGGTCTAAGGAGAATGGCGCTGCGAGGAGTTACCAGGGGATCTGGCGGACGCTCAACACTCAGGGGAAGGATGAAACGGATATACAATCAGACTAGTACCATCAGAATTGGAACTCTTCGCTTGCTGCTGAAGAGGGGTACTTAGTACTCTTGGGAGTGTCTTGAGTGCAGAGATGTTGATTCTTAATTCATCATTCGTTGTATGGAAACTTAACGGGACACTTTGAAATGCCTTCACAATGCTTACTTGACCCCAAAGGACCATAATAACATCTGGCTTGTTACAGATCTGTTTAGCACCAGGTAATGCAGAACCACTAAAAATAGTAAAAATACAACCTGCCAAGATGGGGAATGAACAAACAAACAAACTTTATTTTCAAAGGGTCACAAATTGGGCACGCAGGCCCGTCTTACATTCAGCCCTTCCAAACACCCGTCTTTCACACTGCAGCTGTATTTTATCAATAAGCATGTTATATTCATATGATAATAGGGAGAACATGGCATGAGCTACATACGGTAGCAAAGTATATTAGAATGACTTGGAGGGGTTGAGGGCCTCTACATTGGGGGATTGAAGGCAGAAGAAGAAGCAACCTGTCAGTCATGTAACTAAGGGTATGTTTGGTTCAGGGATTGGTTACCCCAATCTGCTAAAACAAATAAAATATCATCCACCAAAATTAATCACTTTTGAGTTGGTTGAGTTGAGGACCTGTATTTTTAAAAACTGATAACGTTTAAAGGAAGATGTAGTCTTTGTCATGCTGGCCAACCTTTACTTCCAAGTTAAAATCAGTCTCTCTGCAGAATGGCTAGCTGCCTGCAGAGAGAGCCAAACAAATCATGAACTCTGTAACACCTGTGACGATCCCCAGGGATCAACGTTAAAAACTGCATTTGTGAACTGAACTACATGTCTGTGAAATGAACCTATGACCTTCAGAGCACAAGGCACAAGACTTGACTACCTTGACATGGAGATCCCCCCCCCTCCCCTTACCCCCCCCCCCCTTTTTTTTTTTTTTTTTTTTTTTTTTTGAAAAGGTGAGAGGATTGGCCTCATTGCACTGGATTTTATCTTATATGACTCGTTCTCTCTCAGCAGAACAGCTAGCCACCTGCTGAGAACGTCACACAGAGCACGACCTCCATAGCTGCGGCATCGATCCCTAGGATCTTTGTAAAAATTACACTTGTGAACTAAACGGCATCGCCATGAAACGAACCCACGATGGCTTGACCACTTTGCCTTGGAGACGCTGTAAAGTATCACATTCAACTCACTACACATGTGTAATGAAAGAATCCGTCAGCTGTCATATTAAAATTCTAATGAAGTTTTTGTTTGGCACTCATTGCCAAGAAACAATCTGAAATTTATGAATTCTGCCAATCAGGGCCATTCAAGACGGGTGCTGGTGCGAGTGCGTCCAGTAGCCAACTCCGGAACACTGCCACTGATCTGTGAGTCCATCTCCTCTGTTGCCATTGGCTGTGTCTGTGTGAGGTCCCGCCTCCAGAAGGGATTGGATTCTTACCAGGAGGAGGACCTGACCGTGCTGAGAGACCACTGGTCAAAGGCACTGGCCCGCCGCAAGAAGTACCTGGACGAGCAGATCCAGAAGTTGATTAACAAGCAAGGTAAGATATGGCTAGAGCAGTGTATCCCAAACTTTTCCTAGTCGCGGCGCCTTTTTCTAATTAAAATTTGTCCATGGCGCCTTAACCTAAGTAAAAGTATGACTACTCGTATGTAAGAGAAAGCAACAACAAAAAAAAAACTTGCGTATCTTCAAATATTTTGTGGCGTCCCTGTGAAAAGGTCGTGGCTGCCCGGGGCGCCACATAGTACAGTTTGGGAATCACTGGACTAGAGCAAGGCTATACAACCGGTGGCCCACCGGCCAAATCTAGTTAGTGGCCCGCAGATTATTGGCAGGACTGTTGTATTAATAATCTTTCTGTCCTCATGCTCTGGCATCTGGCCTGTCACGTTTCCCATTTTCAAAATTTTTTCACCTGAGTAAATGTAGTTGAAAAGCCCAGGCTAGGCTGTTGCTGTGGTTTGGTTGGAAGGTTGACTAATGAGTTGGTTAATTGGGTGGATCCCCGTGTGGGTTCTTTGGCCCTATGCTAGTAAGAAAAAGAATAGGCTTGCTGTCTCCCTAACACACATATCAGACAAGCGGACTAATTAGGGAAGTTTCCTTTGAAGGCGGAGTATATTTGCCTGAGAGGTAAGGAACCAGCAGTTGGCATACACATAAGCCAGATCTGAAAAATGGATGTGACCAAAGTCCAGAAATGGACTGCAACCAGAATTTTCCACCGGAGTTTACAGCTGATGATTGCTAAGATGAAGGAGATGGTTAGTAGTTGATGGGTTTGACTGGTTGTCTGTTAGATGGGTTTGTCTGGTAGTTAGTAGGTTGGCTTTTTGGTGGGTGGGGTGATTGGTTAATGAACGGGTGAGGTGGTTGGTAGTTGGTGGGTTTGATTGTTGGTGAGTTGGCAGTTGATTTGACGGTGGGATGGTTTGTAGTTGGTGGATTAGCTGGTTACTGGGATGGCTAGTTGGTTAATAGACGAGTGGGGTGGTTGATAGTTGGTGTGTTAGCTGGTTACTGGGTTGGCTGGTCGGTTAATGGATGGATTGTTTGTGGATGAGTTGTTCATAGAGAAGTGGGTTGGCTGGTGAGTTGGTAGTAGGATAGTAGCAGAGAAACTGCTAAATTGCTAAATACCAGTCAGATTTACAACCTATGGTATTTCTGACAGATCACCCTGTGTAAGGTCGCTGTGCAGGAGATACCATCCCACTGTGAAGTTCCAGAGAAAGGTGCAGTTGAAGAACTATCTGATGTACCAGTTTCCTATCAACTGAAAAAGAGAATAACTAAATCAATCAGAAAGCCACCAAATCCGACGATAACCATATAATGGACAGACCAGAGCAAGTTATTATTCTACACCTTGGAACAGGGCACAGTCAACTTCACAGCCAAATGTACAAAACAAATTTAATTT